TATGCTCCCCCTTACACTCTGCTCATACTTCTGTCACTGATCATAGTGGAAGCACAGTGTTGCATCCACCTCATGTTTTGTCCACACAGATGACGTGTGCAGTGTCGTCGTGGGCTAAGCTTGTTCTGAATTTTAACAAATTGTCTGTTTAACGTTCAGCTTTGTTAAACTGAATCATTTCCGTATCGCTAAAGATATTCGACTATCTTTTTTTCTGTCATATTTCTTCCTGCTGTCATTGCTGAAGTGTGTTTGACTGGAAAAGCTCCTTCAGCGCTGAGAGGTTGTGTTACTGCCATGACTGTGGAGAACTATTTCTGCGAGCACTGGTGTTGTTGGAGGAAGCAGCTTTGCAGTATAGATGTTTTTCACACATTGCTCACATTAATTTGACAAATGAAAAGTTTTTCTTGGGGAGGACTGTGAAGGAAGGACCAGAGGAGCCATAGAAGCCCTCGTGGAATTGCATCGTGTTTAATCTGATGCTCTTTCTCTTGAACAGGATGCTGGGTGGGTCACAACACATGGAAGAATCAATTCTAACTGTAGCTCAGTAGGAAATCAGTCAAAGTGAAAAGTCATTAATTTGCTGGAACAATACGGGCAGGACTATTCATTTGAGTATTTTCAGTGTGTCTTCATTGTCTCGCTCAAGGACACTTGTGGACAAAAGGATGTTGGTCTCAAACCACGAGCCTCATTCCTCTGCCTGCAGTGTCTTTGTTCCTGCAGCATGAGGTTGGTGTATCCGCCCCAAACACATCATGTGTAAGTCCTCAAGTCTAGCAAACATGCTAAATGTGTCTCTTCCTCATAAAACACTTGCGTTGGCTTTTTCTTCACTATTCGGGCATTTTGTGGTGTGATGTTGTTGCCAACTGTTTATCAACTGAATAGCATGAAACGAACGGCAGGGGTGCGAAGCATACATGTGTCTTTGTGCACGGGCACAATGCAAACAAAACAGGGACCCACCTGCAACAACACTGGTCCGTAGCAACATGGCAGCTTTTAAATGAAGTTTTCCAGGAAGTGGCCGTCAATCAGGAATTTGAACTCCCTCTTTCATATGGTCCGGAGATGGCAGAAGTACTCCCATTCTTTACTTAGGTAGAAGTAGAGATACTCGTGTAAACAAGTAGAAGTACTGATTCAACTCCTTTACTCCAGTAAAAGTGAAAAAGTGCAGGTTCAGAAATTTACTTAAGTAAAAAAGTAAAAATTAATTTTTAGCCTCTTTTGATGACTCTGCAAAACGAAAAAAGTTTTCATCACACAAAGTAGGATCGTTTTCATCCTTTAAGAAGCTGCACAGTGCTGCTACAGAGAAACACGTCACTGGACAGTTTTCCATTTCAGCAACATGATGAGCATTAAACATTATCATCAACATGGAAACACTCGTCTCTTCAAGACTACCGACATCTTTTATTGAGCCTCAGTAGAAGCTGGTTCTTCGAAGTTCTTCGGATGAAGACGTGCCCTTTTAGGTCTGAACATCAGTCCTGCAGTGCTAGAAAACCTCTGGCAGGCAGCTGAGGCAGGCAGGGCTGTGTTGAGCTTCACTGCTGGGAAAGATAAAGACTTTTGTTGTTACGTCTTTTACGTCGTGTCATCATCGGCGGAGGTTTAAACAAGTAACGAGCCAGTTTAGAGAATGTAAGGAGCAGAAAGTCCAGATATTTGTGTTCAAATGTAGGGAGTGAAAGTAAAAAGTCGTCAGAAACATTAATACTCAAGTAAAGTACAGATACTGGCAAAATCTACTAAAGTACAGTAATAAAGTATTTGTACTTTGTTACTTCCCACCTCTGATGCAATCAGAAAGATTCATCCTCCTGGGAGTGTGAATGTATTCAGCAAATATAATAACAATTTGGCAAGTAGTTGTTGTCTGGCCAACTCTTGGAACAGAGAAGCTCACTGAGCAGCCAGCTGACATGATCATCCCCAGGCCCTAGTAACGTATTTATTTATGGTTTATTCAATAGGGACAGAAAAAATATGCATCTAGAAACTGAAACCAGCTATCAAATGCAAGTAAAAAAAAATCTAATCCCACGGTTACCATACAGCTCCAGTGGTTTAGTGACATTGGTAACTTGCAAGCGTTCCGATTTACCTGAACAGTCGCTCTGCTGCTGTTTGCTTTCTCCTCTTCTCAGCAGCTTTTGAGTGGAGCTGTTGTCAGAGGTGGTTTTCTCACTGACAGCGGTATCTGATTTCTGTCTCTGTGCTGAAGGCTTTGTCATTCTCATCACACTGTTGTTCTGAAGCCTTGTGAGCCGTCACATGTGCGAGAACAGTTTCGTCAGAGTTTGATTTGTTGGTTAGATGCTGAAGCGGTTCAGTTATTGATCTCTGATCCAGACACACTGTGGTCTCAGCAGCTTGTGCCGCGTTAGCTCCGGTGCTAATATGACTCTGTAGGATTTCTCTCCAGGACACGTCCATGTACTCCAACATTTGTTGTAATTATGTCACAAACTGATGAGTCAGAGCAGCAGGGAATCAACACTTCAAGGCTGATGAATAAGAATAAGCACCGTGTGTGTTTATACAGCGTTCCTCATCAGAAGTTCTCCTCTTCAGATAGATGTGATACAGATGTTTAAGTGAATTAGTCTCCTCAGGTTTGGGCTGAGGCCAAAATTAGAGAAAGAAAGCTGCTGGTAATAATCAAGAATAAAGCATAGATGTAGTGTAAAATATATAATGCTCTGCATTTCTGGATTTATTTGATTTCACATTATACAGCAGAAAACCAACATGAACCAGGTTAAAGTGATGACTCATCCACTACAGCAGGTGTGACTAATGTTCTTTAGTCTGGTTCCAGTTGGAGCAGTGAACGCTGGTGTTTACATCCTCTGACGCTTATGTTAGAAATTCCTTGTATTTAAAATAGTTCAAATGCTTTAAAAGGCATTGTGGAATTCACTTGAAAATCCTAAACAGGCTTCACAAATGTCCTTGCAAGAAGTGATTTGGTGGTTTGCAGGTGGAAACATTAAAACTCTAATAAATGAGGCTGAAAAGTGACAATTCAAGGATTTCAGTGACGACATTTCAATTCAAAGCAGGTCCTCAGTACACATTTACTAAAGTCGAGAGCTGTACTGAACAGAAAACCATCTTGATCGACTGAAATCTACTAATTGGTTGGTGGTGGGGAAAAAAATGCATCCGTTATTTCCAGATGAACTAAATGGGCCACAGTGCACTGAGTGACCTCCACCTGCTGGACTTGCACCCCGAAATGAAACAAACATTCAGTCATTTCAACCTGATTATCTTATACTGCAATAAGTACAGCGTTGGAGCAGACCAGTTTGAACCTGCCCATACTCAGAGGATTCCTATAAACAGAACTGTGTTAACTTGTGCTCCCAAGACAAGAACATTTGAGAGATTTATCCCTGACAGGTTAAGACAACAAAATGCAGCCACACAGACCGACTTCCTTAACATGTTATCGGTAAGTTTGGAGCCAACTCTGAGTAAATGTTTAGTAAATGTTAAATACATTACGCTTGGCAGGCTTTGTTAGGGTGGACCAGTTCAAAGTTGTGTAAATGTCGGGGTGTTCACGGGTAGTCTGTTCCTCCCGCTGCCAGAAACACTGGTTTAGTTTTGGAATGCTGTTGATGCAGCGTTATCCACCTTTGGAAGGAATACGCGTGATTGTCTGAGCAATGAGAAGTTGGTTGGATGACGATATATCAGCCATCCAATGTACCGGTCACCCTGGACACCCCAGGACTAATAAAGTAACCGTGTCGGGAAATTATTTATGTGTGACGTCTGAAGACCTGAAAACTAGACACACAGACTTGTTGTTGAACACACCACCAGAACTGTGCCAATAAAACACACGCTCAAGACATTTCTGTGTTGTTTCTTTGGATATCCATTCAAATGTGTTACAAATGGTGGACTTTTGGAATATTAGCTGTATTATCATCACAATGGATGATAATCCAAGAGAAGGTACAATTTGTCTTTATAGAAAAATAAAAAGTTTCCTGCTCGTAGCAACCGTTGCTCCAGCTTCTGTTGATTATAAATGACATCAGTGGGACAGACATGTAGTTTACTGATTGCTAACGGGAGAGAACACTCCCCTAACAAACAGAAAACAAGAGTACAATGAGAAGGGGTAAAATTAAGTCATATTTCAGTCGGGCTAATAGTAAAGTACAATACAACACCTGGACACACTCACACACTCGGTGTTTCTGTAGAATAACATAATAAATGACTGGACACATAGCAGGATGTAACTTGTTGGTGTCATTTTTTTTTTATCCCTGCAGGCGAGTACATCAAGAACTGGCGACCGCGCTACTTTCTGCTGAAGACAGACGGCTCTTTCATTGGCTACAAGGACAAACCGCAGGACTCTGACCTGGCCTACCCGCTCAACAACTTCTCTGTAGCAAGTAAGACACAAACACATCAGCACACGCTTCGAGCTCAACCAGTGGTGTGTTGTATGTGTGTGACGCAGCACGTCTCTGTGTGCGACTTTCAGAATGTCAGCTGATGAAGACGGAGCGGCCCAAGCCCAACACCTTCATCATCCGCTGTCTGCAGTGGACCACCGTCATCGAGAGGACTTTTCATGTCGACACTCCCGATGAGAGGTGAGCCTTCATCTTCTTCAGTTTTTCTTACATGGATAAAACAGACACTGAATCATTCTACAGTGTTTGTTTGACTGGAAAGAGTTGGTTTAGTACAGGGAGAAAGAACGGCTAACCAGCTGATAAAAAAAGAAATTACAGTCGTGACTCGATGATCCGACACTGAATGTAAAACCTTCTTTTATGTCGGACAGCAAGGCTGTCGGATTGTCAAGACGGAGGTCCAGATACGAGGAGGGCTTGATGCTGGAAGGCTCATTAGTTGTTAATATTTATTGTTCATAGTTGTTATAATAACTAGTAGGGCTGGTCCAATTGGTCCTGGTTCAATTACATCCACAGATAAATCCAAGTGATACACACTAAGTAATAAAAACATGTACAAACTTTATTCGTAGATAAAAACAGGTGAAAATATTTTCTGGTCAGTCAGAACTACTCAGCTGGACGGGGTGGTTCAAATTCTTACTAAATCATTTAGAAATGATTCTTGTTGTTGTGTGTGGTGGCCAGACTGTAGTTAGACCTACAGCAGCTCGCATGTCGCAGCTCAACAACCAACATGGCATCTAAAGTCAGCTCTGTTTACAGGAATCATACGAGTACGGTGCACGCTGCTCTGCTTCTAGTTTGTTGTTATTATTTCAGTATAAAATGTTCAAATGATTTATGATGCTGCAAATACTGTCTTTTTATGCTTATTAATAATGAATGTCGGCGAATAAGGGCAGCAGGTAGAGTGCAGCCAATTGATTGGTTGAAGAGTATGCATGATTTCAGTCAACCAAGATTTTATTAATTATTTATTTTATAATTGCTGAGGATGAAGAACAGCTAAGTAAAACATTTAACGAAGACGTATGGGAGTGAAGTCGCTGCTAGCAGACAGCAAACATCACTGTGTGGTTGGGCTTCTAGACAAAACAATGGCTCAGCCTCGTGTTCAATTCTCCTCAGTGGACACAACAAGAGTCGGTCAACACAGTGAGAAGAAAGACAGGAAACAGGGGTGTGGGGCCGAGGCTGGACGCCAAGTTGTGAAGGGTTTTGTTCCAAAACACAATATAATGTATACATTCTGACTTACTACCTGATGCTCAAAGGTTTGTTGTTAACAAGACTCAGCAGCATCGGGCCAGCTGTAGACGGCCATGAGCTGCAGCTGGTCAGTAGGTTGTCAGTAGGGTGGATGTCTTTGGTTGAACTGGACAATGTGTTGTCCTCACAGCTCACAAGATAGCTCAGAAACCTAAAGATTAAATGTTTTTCTGGACAAGTTGTTTGCATTTTTTTTCTCTTGCTTTTATTCATCACTCGTGGTGTGACTTGAGGAGAGTTGCCATGTGCACACGAATAACAAGGAGCAGAAGAAAAAAACCTCTCCGACAATTTGTTGAAACTGTTTTCTTTGTGCAATCTGAAGAAATGAAACCAGTGAGTCTGCAGTAGATCAATATGTGTGACTTTTATATTTTCAACCAGTAGTCTCTCTCAAAAAAAATATGGAAAAAAAAACAGCTATTTAAACTTCTGTGAAGATTTATTGTTGGTCTAAAGCTGAAGCCACAGTTGCAAGAAACGCACCAAAATAAAAGAAGAGAATGTCATCTGCTGGAGTTTTAACCCGATCGTCTGCTGTAGGGACGAGTGGGCCGAGGCCATCCAGATGGTGGCAGAGTCGCTGGCTAAGCAGGAGGAGGAGGGCATCCTGTGCAGCCCCACCTCCCAGATCGAGAACGTCAACGAGGAGGAGATGGACACCTCCATCAGTCACTACAAACGAAAGGTACGCAACAGTTTATTCTTCAAAAAAAAAAGCTTTTGGGCAGTTTGTGGGATTTTGTTTTCGCTCCTTTCACATTTTTCCTCACTGTTGGCTCATTTTTAACTACAAAGTCCAGCTGCTTTATGGATCAACACAACCATGGCTAGAAGGAGAGAGAACTCCTGAGTTAAAATGCCATAAATCATGTTAAAAATGTACAAAAAAAAAAAAAAAAGTAAATTGCTGTCATTGATAATTTTACAAAATTAAAAAAAATAAAAATAAAAATCTCGGGTCAGTATGTTTTGCTGGTAGAAACTGGTCGACTGGGCCTATTCACATTTTCTACATCCTCAACAAACGAGGTATATTTCACACAAGCTGCTTCACCATGTTGACGGTATCTTGCCATTTAGCTCACGGCAGCACCGCTGCTCGCTGAGGACAGTAACTGCAGAACGATTTCAC